ACAGGTGGGGAGTGGTGGGAGTCGACTTACTCTGACAGAACCTGACACGTCTACATGGCTGTCAGTATGAGGAATGGCGGTGGTGCAATCATGTCTGACTCGCTTAAATAAGATCTCCGATGTGAAAAACCAGCGAGACCCACAGAACAATTATTTCTGGGACTACTGATTTTGTAACGCACCGTATGTATATATATGCAAACAAATACCAAGTGTATATATATACTTTTATATACTTTTATATACTTTCCGAATACGCGAGTACATTTGAGAACAAATTATTGGATTATACAAACAGTACAATATCTGTAGCACGCACGTACAGTTTGGCCCAGGAAGCCTCAAAACCTGTATAAATCTATGCACAGCATAGATAGACAGTCACTCACAACGAACACAGACAGATAGACAGACAGACAGACAGACACACACACAAATACTTGACAGAAGATTTTTGCTGATTTGCACACGCTGCTACTAACTCTTTCATCTAACACCGAACAAAATATCCCCACAGGCTGCGCTAGAAACCGCACACTACCACCACACACGAGCTAGGCCCTGACCTCATTTCAACCACCAAACTCTACCCAAAAGCCCAAGTTTCGAGACAAACTGTCTCGCACGTTTCCACCTCGTACAATCAAGGACCGAAAATTCACACGAGTCAAAAACAAACAAGCAAGTAGTGCAGTTGTGCACGGTACATTTTCTATCAAAAGCAATTCACAACGTTGTAAAAGAGTAAGATGAGATATCAAAAAATGTGGACACATTGGTTCTACGATTTTTTTCAGAAAAGAACAAACTATGAATGGACATTGAGATCTGAAGATGAAACTTGATGTTCCCTATCATTTGGTCGCTTTTAAGGACAAGCGGGCTAACCCAGATTTCGGGGGTTTCCAGGAATCTTGACCTACACCAAAAGTGGGCATTATTCTACCTATAGAAAAAGTCTGGTTTCATTGGTGTGTATATTTGCTTGGTTATAGAGAAAACTCTCCTTGTCTTTTAAAAAAACTGAACAAGGGGCAAAAACTTTACCTTTGATTTTCTCAAAACAACGTTTTTCGAGATAGCCCCCTTGTGCTTAAAGCGACCATATGTACCTTACATATCACCCAGTCACTCAATGTAGCACCCTCTTACTCTTATCATATCGAAAGAAATACAAGTCATTGACTTTGGTGGAACTGATCCCCAACTGTTGTCACACCCACTTTGTGTACTTCAAAAATGTTCTAGGGGGCTGGTTACACTTTGCTACTTCATTTCTCTCCCGCGACACCCACAAGGGTTTAAGCGGCGGATAAAAGTAAAGTAAAAGTTCTTTATTTCTCACAGAGATGCTGCCACAGACACAGAGATGCTGTCACAGAAAAGATATAATATAAGTGGTCTACAACCGAGTATAACGATCAAACATTTTCGCCGCTACGCAAGTAGTACCTGTATCACAGAAATGTATATTATTATATTTATATGGACTGCTGAGTGCAGCTCAATCACGAGTCACTTCTCAAGACGGTGAATGGAGCAGTCCTGAACTGAGCACTCAATATACAATGTCATCACTTTCAATATCTCTTCATCTCTGCCGCGACAGAAAAATGCTGTGAAAGGTAAAGTAAACAAGTGGGGGTAATATATAACTGAGCATAAACTAACAACTCTTGCTTACTGAAAAATACCATGATGGTAAAGCGTTCCATTCAGATTTTTTTCTTCTGAACATCCGCCCCTCTATACCAAAGAAAACAAGGTAATTAAAATAACAGAACTAGTGGGGAACAAACGCAGAGCTACGTTCTCCCCTTGTACATCATGAGATCACTTGGTGCAACAGCACTTTGTCTTTGTTGGTAAAATCATTCTTTTTTTTACCGTGCCACGGTCGGTTTAAACAGTCACAAACACCTCGTAGAGCAGAGAAATCTGACTCACGAAGTAGGTGGATTAACCATGCCATGGTCGGTTTAAACCGTACCCGGCACCTCATACTCATAGCAGAGAAATCTGACTCACAAAAGTAGATGGAAAAAACAAACGCGTCACAAAACGTATGGCGTAGCGCGTGACGCGTTTCTTCTCCATCTTTCTACACGGAAACTTACTGCCTCACTCTCCTCCATAGAAACTATCGGCGGCACAGTCTAGTGTGCCTCTGTCACTTTTCACGCAGCTTCCTTTCTGTAATCAGCTGCTGAAACAGCAGTGACTCTCACATATAGTGGAGAGGAAAGCCTCACTCTCTTTTCTGTGGCAAAAAACATCGTGTTTCACTATGCTTGTGTTTCGCTGTGTGCGTGTTTTGCTGTGTTCGTGTTTTGCTATGTGCGTGTTTCGCTGTGTTCGTGTTTTGCTGTGTTCATGTTTCGCTGTGTTCGTGTTTCGCTGTGTGCGTGTTTTGCTATGTGCGTGTTTCGCTGTGTTCGTGTTTTGCTGTGTTCATGTTTCGCTGTGTTCGTGTTTTGCTGTGTGCGTGTTAGGTAGTCAGTCCTTGCACCATATTTCGCGAGTGTGGAGATCATCAAATGGCAAGACAGTGTGCATCAGCTAAATGCTGCATAGTTAGTTCAACGGGTATCGACGACTCCACTCAAAAGAAGTGGCAGGCAATTTTCCACCCCCTCTCTCTCTCTCAGGTGAGAAAGAAAGCTTTTTCTCGTTAACTCGTAAATACAAAACATTGTCACCTCCAATCACCTGCCTAATGACCAGCACGTCTCCCGACAGCTCACACGGGAGGAAAAACTGGCGTCTTTGAGAGCTCTGTGAAGTGCCACGGATGTCAAATTGTTCACTCATTTATTCCACAATGAAAGTTCTGACTGTCCGACAGCATTTATCAAAGAAAGACAAAGAGCGCGCTAGGAAAGTCGAACCAGCATAAGGCGAGCGTGTTTTGGCATTTAAAGCTACGAAACAAAGTTACACACCAGAAAGAGTCTCAAACAAATACGACTGCTCGGTGCAACACTCCGTCATACGTCACTTTTCAAAATGGTGTCTGGCGTAGTATTACGCTTCAAGTAGACCACAAGGCCCTCTGAACTACTGAGGAAAACAGTCCAAGCTGCAGGCAACTGGCAACTTTATGGTCCCCTATTTTTAGCTGTTTCAAAGTGAACCAGGGACTTTACAGAGATACAGAATCACATTCATTTCCCTCCTCAGACACAAAACTTCACCGCTACAAGACGAAGTCTGCGACCGGCGCATTGTAAAGCCTTTTATAGAAAAAACCAGTGAGCTCATGTGCCAAAAGCCCAGACAGAGCGTGTAAAAGTTAAGGAAGGGGGAAACCATCAGTCTCTGTTTGGGCCCGACATTTATGAAGCCAGACCCCCAAATTAAACAACCCTCGCCAATGAAAGCTAATCAAATGAAAGGGTGGCCTG